AAATGGTCGCGTTTATCCACCACCTCCATTCTGATGTTGGGCATTTGGCTGGCCTAATTCAAATCTCCACACCAGAGCAGCGACGCCGTAGTCATCATCTTCGTCTGAAAATGAGATTAATGTATTTTATTGAACATTTGAATCCGTGGTCAGTATACCTGTATAATTAACTAACTCATTGAAAATGACATTTCATTTTTCGGCAAGCACCGATTAATTAATATTGAGAAAGTCAGGTCCGCCGTTTATGTATGGGCCCGAGTAACCTGAGAAGCAAGCCAAACCAACGATTTGTTTAATTGATTTATGCGCCTGAGAAATAAAACATGCGTCATTCACGGTATGACGAAATATCTGACAGCAAGGAAGTGCGTAAAAATTTGGAAGAGCAAACCCACCCAAATAAACCTAAAATTGACATTGAAAGAAGACAATTATTTGACCTCAACAGCAGTAACTCAACAGTGGAGAAGGGTTGGCCATGAACCGCACTCAAGTGGTCGTTTGGTCGACCGATGGACACCGGTCGCCTACATGATTGGAGATCTGGTGGCTGACTTTCGCTCAACAGTGACCATATTTGGCCATCTTCATCACTGTATAAGCCAACTATTCTACTTTCAAATTAACTTTTTGATTAGACATCTGGTAGGGCAGCCAGTTGCTCCACGCTCTCATCAGTTTATCGCCAGTCCCTTCATGTTGACGGTGGTGGATTTCGGGCTCAATAGCTGCAACGTAAGCAGCGAGATTCGAGAAGTGTTAAAATATTGCTATAAATGCTCTTACAAAAAATAAGAATAAAAGTATTTGGCTAAATTTTTTTATCTGGTCTTTTTCTGCTTGTATTATTGCAACGAATATAAATAAAAGAGCATAAAAGTCAGGTTGTCTGTAATAAAAGCGGTTTGCATACAAATTAGATTAATTATTTTTCCACGTCAAACAACCTGTGGACGTTTTTGGCGGCACATATGAAAATTTGGACCCTTGTTTTGCCATGGCTAGTTAACTTTGCGTGTGGCTTGTATTGATGTGCATAGGGACTCGAGTAATATTTGGGAATTTTTAAATATATGCTTTTTTAAGTATGCACTGGCACGCGGCCTAAGCAATTATTGTGATTTGCTGGGCCCATGGTCTTCATAATAGGTTCGTTGGGTAGCATCTACTGATCCTAGTGTTTCTAGTCTCTTTGAAGTTGTGAAGAGGGGGAATGAGTTGCACTTTTTTACTTATACATTGTCAGCGCTTCAGTTAGGGGAAAGAATATGCCTGCTGCAATGATAGGTTCACCACTTAAGGGCATTTGAGCTGTCCCAGCCGAATTGGAAGTAAATTTGAAGCCTAGTCTTTTATGTTACAAGTATGAACAAATGTATCGAAAAATTTGACGGACAATCCAACGATGGCGTGATGCGATTCCCTGCCCCTCATTTCGGCTTCATGCGCATTGATGAACTCGACAATGCGAATTATTGATTAGTGGAGTCGTTAAATGTGAGGCCTTGGTTAGTAGGTAGCGCTTCGTAAGACTTCCTTTACTTTGTTTTAGTTAGCCGAAAGATACTGCTGTTAATGAAAAGGAGAATGAGCAACCAACTGCAAAGGGGAAAACTGGCTTTGGTGCAATTTATTTATCTTTTTAGAGGTCGGAGAAACCAATGTTTTATTAACCCTGCAGTTTTAGGAATGCTAAGTATATGAGGGAAGAGCTGATAGTAAGTGCGAAATAATCGAGAATATTACTCCAGATTCCGAAATTCTAAAATGCATGGGTTCATACTTTATTTAAATTTAGTGACTTCGTTTTCCTTTTTGTGTAAGTGTGGCTTTTATCTGGGGAAATATCATCTATAACAGCAGCTGGTCAATAATGAAACAAAAATGGCTTTAGTGATGGTAGAGTTGAAAGCGTTCCTGCGTAAAGACAATTTATCAGCTGCAGTTGATAAAAAGAACGTCCTCGTACAGGATAGTTGTTGCACTGCCAAAATACTCTCCACCCATGGATCAAGACCTTTCTTGCCCAATTTGATAGTGAACCACCGCCTCAGGGCACCATGTACGTAGGAGGAACCGGATGCCCTAAGTATGACCCCAGGAGTTAAAAAGCAGTTGCCTTTATCGTCTTTTTTTATGGGACACTATTGTAGCGAATTCTATACAGTTAATTTTCTTCATTTCCTTCTCATCTCTTCGTTGAACACCAGTAGAGTTGTCATTAGCGACTAGTGTTCCTTAATTTTTCAGAATTCCTTGTCCTTGTCAGATATGAAGGTGGATGGGGAAATATTATGGGCATCAATCTAAACATTGATTGTCTTTGCAGATCAGCCTAAGTTCATTCTCTGAGATGAAGGTGAAAACAAGGGTATATCAATGACACAGCAGGAAGCACTGCGTTGGTATGTGCTGAAGTACAGATCCCTCTTAGCATGGACACACAGAGTAGATAGAACAATTTGTCCTAGTGAGCTTACCGAAATAAGTTATGGTGGTGGATAAACTAACGATCCTGATCTAAAGTGCTCTTGATGTCTATTTGGCTGCATCCCTAACAGCAGGGCATGCAATGGCAAACTCTGCCTTCGAATCGCGAACTCACAGAAAGCTAATCGCGACAGTATGGCCAGGCTATATCTTGAGTTCAGCAAAGTGTCTTTGTAATGTGCTTTGCATTCAAATGTCGACACCTTCATGATGATCAGTTTTCAAATGCTATCCATCGGTTGGTTATTGGGAAATACCTCGGACTGGGGTACTGGAGTACCCTCATTGTAAATTATGTGAATCAACTAGGCTGCTTCTTACATTCGGCCGTTCCATATTCCATCAGTCATTCATATCCACTTTACTGTAAACCCTAATTTTCGTACAAAAAGGGAGTACAATGCGGTAAATGCAAAGTCTGATGTGCCATCGTTAAACCAACACGACAGCACCGAATTCAGCCTCTTGGTGAAGTATTGTCCCCTCGGCTGTCAACCCGATACCGGCGACGATCTCTCTGATATCGCCACCTTCTCCTACCGCAGTATCGCACTCACTGTTCGAGCAAGCGGCGTCACTTGTATGGAGGCGTACAACTACCGCGTCTTTAATTGCCAATCTTTTCACTCCAAAGATTTCTTTTAGCCGCTAGTTCTCTACCTCTTTGTATTTTTTTGTCACAAGTAACACGGACCCAAAATGGTGTTGATGATTTGCTCGTCCGTGTGAGATTAAGAGTGCAGGCAGTGAAGACGGCAGCGCAGAGTGAGCTTGCTGGATGACGGAACATCGAGCACAAGTGGTTATTGCATAAAAGTTGAAAGCTCCTAATTTGTCCGGAATGCAAGTCCCCTCTTTCATATTTCTAACATTGATCGAGCCAAATCTGACTTTTTTGGCTGATCAGTAGTCAGTTTTACTCGACCTACACATTTGCTGCTATATTTTTACCAAGAGAACCGGAAGTTTCCGAAGATTCTTACCAATCGACTACTACTCAGATGCATCTTCGGATTTCCCCTTGCTAATTCTATGCTACTTGGATTAGTCACCCTTCTACAGTGGTGATTCCTATTTAGTAAAACTTTAAAATATCGGGACTGCTGCCTCAACGTCGAATAGACGGTATTTATAGTCTACATCGAGTTCGTGTTAGGACAACCTAATGTAGTGATAAAGGAAATTTCATACCTTCCAGTTAATTGTCTGGACTTCACATTTTTCGACTGCGTATGCATTAAGCCCCAGTCGTTTTAATCTTGTGTCGTGGAGGTGATATGGTCTGCGTTACTAAAAATGACCGAATACCGTTCGTCTACTTCATGCAGACCATCCCTCTTTGTTTGGATTGTTAATGCCCAACAATATCTCCTCGTCTCTAATTTGTACAGCTGCTATCACAAAATCGCGAGTGGACCTAAAATCCACCAGATGATTAAAGGAGTTCGTGCAGTTTTTGATGGAGCTCATTACAGTCACTTGTTGGGACATGGAAAGAGCTTACGTCAGTACCAATATGATACTTTTTACCGTTCTTGGACTGAATTCTCATGATTAGTAGTTAAAATTGATGTGGTACGAGCATGTCTGCTTTAAGAACGAGGCTTAGCTCTGTTCCAAGACTAAAATACAATGCAGTCGTCTGTCAAACTTTCTTCCAGCATTTGGAAGGGGTGCAAAAGGTAATAGCAAAACCTGCTGCTTATTATTAAATGGTTCCAACAGTTTGTAGTGTTTAATAGACGCGTATTTGCCCAATGGTAAATTCTTACAGTTGCTTAATTGCTCACTGTCTCTTTACTCTATCAACGTAATGGCTGATATGGGCATTCTTCGAGACTGATCGAATTTTTTTCATTACACGTGGGTAAAGTGTGAATACAGTTGATTTATACGGCATAATCTTATCGTCCCACCGGCTTCTTTGCTCCACTACCGCGTTATTTCGTATGGTACAATGCTGGAATGGGAAGATTGTGTGATACAGTTGAATTCGGTTCGATTGCAGTAGCATTTGATGCAGACTGAACAAATTCTTAGTGTTTAGGGTAGCTTCTTCTGTTGGTTCTTCGAAATTCTTTTCAAATTCACTACACTACAGAATATGCTACAGTAAACGGGCCAAGGCTAAAAGATTTCTCTACCATTTCATCCAATCTCAATTCACTTTTCCAATCCGAATGAAATTTTGGGCGCTTAATTGATATTTTAACCAATCTGTTCTGCTTCGCTGAGGAAGGCGTGTCTGAGATTAGTTCTAGTTTTACAAGATATGTTGTGATAGAAACGGTCCTCCTGTTGACAAAAATCTAATGTCAAATTAGTTCGTCTGGTAATTAATTCGTCTAACTATCCCGTTTCCATCCATTTACCAATTCCCTTGCCTATTCATTGGCCTGCTCACTTATGTCAGACTTCTTGATTCCTGGAGATGTTTAATGGAAAATACATCTAAATGTATGGGCAAAATAGGCCCAGAGTTGCTGGAAGAGGTGAAGCATGCGATTTGAGGGTGATAACAAAAGGTCCTATCAGTAATTTGTGCAATCCAAGCAAGTGTCTTTTCTTCCTTACAGCATCCAACATTAACGGCAGGTACAGCGGAGATGTAGACAGCTATGGCGGTTCTGGGCGTGTCACCGGAGGATCACGAAGCGGCATTGCAGGAGTGCGTGACAAGTGACGAGCAACTGGTGCCTGCTCAGGCACCACGGTAGGCTACGTACCTGCAGGTGTCGAAGGAGCTAAAGGCAGTATACTGCAAGCGTGCTGACTCCGTCGCTGCCATCCAGGCTGCTGTGGTGGCAGAATCCTGATCAGGTGCAGACCAGCATCGTAAGGTGGGAGGCCAAGGTGACCGTTGTAGACACAGGCTGTGATCTTTTGTCCCTCTTGTTATGTCTGTTTTTTCGCCCTCCTCTCTGTCTATTTATCATACCTAATACTCAGCTATCCTGCAACCGTACATTTTGCATCCATCTAGCTATTGCCTATCTAAAAATTCATTTAGTTGTGCCATATTTTTATTTGCTTCTTCTACTTTTTATTTATTTGTGCATCAATTACGGCTTCAAACATCAACCCGATCGTTCGTTTTTAGGCTACTTGGTAACGCGTTAATCATTCTGACACATCTATTTGATGGACTTTGTTTCAAATTTTCTGCCGCTACTGATGGGTTAGTCGCTTGTTTTTAAATCGTTCAGGTCAAAGTAACTAGTAAGATTGATTTATTGGACTACTGCTGCATTGAACTTAAACTACACCTCTTATTGTGTCGGTGTGTGTTTAAATACTTGTGGAACTACCCAAGCTGCCATGAAGACCAGATAGTGAACGTCTACGCTGCACTTATAGCAAAGTTAAAGATCCTGCTTGCCACCGTTCAGACATCTGATGGTGTTGGTAGGTTGTCTATTGGGAACTTACGCCCCCTCATCACTTTACTCCTACTTGCTTTGAATTTTATTTTCTTTTGGTTAAATTCGAACGTGTTTAGTAAATGGGGTGGAGCTACACCACCCGTCTCTTTTTCCGAGCTTCATGCGTGGTCAAAGGTCGTACTACGATAGAATTGACTTTCAGTACTTTTGACTGAGATAGTTATTAAACAGTGGAAGAATTTTCTAATGTTCTTTCTCTTGTCAGTCAGACCATTCGATTGTTGATAGTGGATGCCCTTTCAGAAATGATTTGTCGATGCACAAAGGAGTAAGCTTTTGAAGTGGCAACAGTGGCAGTCGTATGCTTCACGTAGCACTCAAAGATGTCTGCCACGTCCTACTCACTAATTATGAATGTGACTACCCGCTTACCGTCGACAGCGTTGCTGTTAGAGTAGGCGAGTATACAGATAGAATTTTTTAAATTACCAAAAGTGCTGAGACCATGATAGCACTAAGGTCAATACATGATGTGCCGATCCTCGTGACGACCAAGTCGCAATGAGTGCAATATAGTTAACTTATGAAGTTGAGGACAGCTTAAAAGTTAAATAGCGGTTCTGTTGACTATAAGAATTACCCGTTATTGCCTTCATTTACTCCTTTTTCATAGCTTTTAAAAATGTGAGAATACATTAGACTGGCCTTTGGTTTTCTCACCTACTAGCTAGCTTCGAATCTTCTTTAGTTGGTCTTATCCCGCGGTTCGTCTAAGTGAATGCATGCCATCAGATTACGCAAGAGCTGGCATACTTATTCTTCATGATATGGACCATTTTGGTGCGCTAATTAATCTAAAACTGGAAGTTTATCTCATCCCCATTCATTCCCTGCTTTTTCCGGTCGGATTGGGAGATTTTTGTTGATCTTTTTTAACTATTTCCTTATAGTCAAACACTGATTTCTGATATGGCGGGAGCCTTAACTCACTCTCTCTATTCCCTACGCTTCTCCATCTTCCTCATCCCGAAGTCACAGCAAACACCTCTAGTTGGAGTTGCCTATTTTGCTGTCCTACTCTTATTTGGGTGCTCTGGTACAGCAAATGGCGGCTTTGTGTGAGTGCTGTTTCTCACTTTCTTCCAACCCTTCCATATGTCCCACTCACTCAGCTTTCAAGACCGTATTCACTTCTACTCTATTCTTTTTCTTTTGTCCTGTTCAGCTACTAACACCGAAACTGCGCTCTCGGCACGTGGGGGTCAGGAAATCATCGCCGAGTTTGTGAGCGGCGAGAGGATTCACCTCCTCATTTCGACTTTATCCTTTTTCTCCATGGGACACTTTACATTCCTTGCGGTATCACCTTCCTTCTAAATTTCTGCACAAATGTATACTTGTTTTGTGTTTTGACTTTTAATATTTAGGTAAACTCAAATCTTATGCTAGACTTGTGTAAGCTGACAGCACTCGATTGGATTTTTTTGGATGCGTCCATCACTGGCACTGCTTACCTTTCCAACTGTTATTGACCCTTACCGTCATCTCCAGTTGGGCACACGAGGAGCAGAAGCAACTTACGTGTTGACCATACAAAAGCGCGATGACCTTGGAGAGCAATACCTGTATTTCTTATAAAAGAGTTTTATGAAGCGACAAAGAAATAGTGGCAAAGTTGGGGTAATAATGTTAATGGTGATGATGTTAGCGCAACAGTCTCACTAATAGCAAACATAAACAGCTAAAAGTGTGTGAATCTACTCCAACGCTCTCATATGCAACCGTTCATTGATTCGCTTACATTTTTACGTGTTTATGTTTATATGTCTACCTCGCCCAACCTAAGCGAAACTTATTATGGAGAAAATTGGGTTGATTTTAGTGGTGGCAACTACAGGAATACTGAAATTGTTGTCAGACACTCATGGTTTCTTAATTAAATCAACAAGAAGAGCCATAGTCCCATTTTCTTTCATGTACCGACACAGGCATTATTTGCAAGGTCGCGGTTTCTGCGCAACTGTGCCGGCAGTTCCATTCAGTCGCTTTTCTGACACAACGGACATTTAGATGCTCTGGATGTCGGACATTCAGACACTCGAACGTAGGGATATCTCATAATGTAAACTCGTCAAAATTGCCCCAATATCAGCTGGTTTTTTTTCCTTTTTGGCAAGTTTTCTCTTGCCTTTTGCTAAAGTGCTTATAAATCATGGGCAGGGGGGACTGCTGCGCTATTATGTTAAACACTTGACGAATTAAGATCAACTTTGTGCAGTACTCAAAGTCATGGATAAGATGATTGGCACTGAGTTGAGTGGATCTAACATGTGAGATGTTTGTAGTAAAAATTGCTCTTGTACTTGCCAGTTTAATGACAAGGCGGGTGTTCGGAGGTTAGTCAGAGAAGAAGTGCGGACTGTCATGGGTGGTGACAAAAGACGGAATGGGAAAGATGTAAGGGCTTGTGCATTGCATGCAATGGAATGACCACACTTGCTTAAGATGTGACTAGTGACGGTGAACATGTGAGATGATGTGGCGTTGACTGCGGAGCAAAGGAAATGAATTTTGGTGGTATTAAATCTAGCAACACATTCAAATAGGCAGGCTGCACAATCGATTGAGTGGAAATTCTATTGCTTGGTTCCCAAACAGATTTAACCCCCTTCTCATTGATGGCACTTATGGAATTGATTTACTCCTCCCACATCCGTTTTCACTATCTTTCCTGCTTCTACCCCTCACCGTGCAAGCTGTAGCTCGCGTTTTCGATTTTTTTTCAGTTATCATTCTTGTGTACAGTTTTCTTCTAATTGTAGTGATTTTGCAAGGAAACAGGGATTATGTGATGGCATGGTGACACTACTGGAAGCATTTAAGTACCACTACCTTCCCTCTCACATGTTGATGCCAATAAGGAAAGCAGGAAGAGCGACTTATTTGGAAAGATCTTGATTAAATAATGCTATAGGACATGCAAGATGGCTTAGAGGGTCAGTTTCTAACTAGAAAAACTGCAAAGGTTCACTGAAGCCCTCTTTTACAGTGCTTTTTGATCCATGGACATAATTTTGGGTCGGGCAAAGCTAACAGAAGCGTTCTCATGCGAAGGCAAAACGACTTTAGAGGAAAAAAGAGAAACAGGTTGGAAGTAGGGGGCAGAAAAGTATAGGTGAGGAATTTAAAAATACAGGAATGAAGGGGTAGATGAATGAGAAGCAGCCACGGGAGTGATTTTCGATGTTGGTGAGTAATTCACTGCCACTTTTCTTCACCTTGACACCCTTACAAGTTCAACAACTGTATATTCTGGATGTTCTTTGCTAGGATTACCAAGTCACAATCGAAGAGTAGGAGCCTGAGCCACAGCCAACACATTTAGAAGACATTTTGCAATTTAAAGCTTCAAGATATGAATGCGGTGCAGAGCACAGTTCAGAGCGAGTGAAGCACTCTCAAGGATGCCTAGTACCGTTTGAAACGTGTCCGCAAAAATACAGCAGGATTTATGATCACCCAATAAACTAGATAACTACACTCATTACTGCTTCCTTACATTGCGAGAATCTACAGTTCTTGACCATAGTGGAGTTTTGGAAGAATAATTGAAGTAAAATATTGACGTTTAGGTATTTGCCTGCCCAGCATCTTTGGAAAAGGTAGATTGTGCTACAACGAATTGCGAAGACAACATTGAATGTAGGCGGCAATTTGATTGTAAGTGGTATATGACATGCCATCATGGGAAAGTAGAATCTTCAAACGTTTATTGCGATCGCTAAAGGTGAAATAAAATTTACATTAGACAAGGTAGCGTTATCTTAATTTAAGCGTTTTCACATATACTGTGCTCACTGTGCAGACGGCCACTTTTTGCCTTTGCACAGGTCACTGGCTGAACAATGGGGTGGACAAAACCGGTCTACTGGCTCCTCAAAGAATATCACTATGTTCGAAGTGGTTGAGCCTACACCCTTCAAACTGGTTGAAACAAATTACGCCAACAAAGTAATCAGATGTACTTAAACACAGACTACATATTACGGCCATCCTTTAGCAGGAGTTATTACTAAGGAAAAAGTGGAGGTAAACAAATGAGCGAGTGGGAGATTGTCAAGCTAAGTGATGACACCAACTTGTAGACGTCGGTCTTTCAAAGTAATATGGTGGACCGTAGTTAGGGACTGAAAATCTGAGAAAGTTAGACTGAGGAGGAAATCACAAAAGACCCGGTTCAACAGAATCAGCAACCCTATTGGTGCCAAAAAAAGCAGAAAATGAAAGAACTGAATAAACTATTTCATCATACTCATGCTGTGGAGAGCAGCAAGTAGTTCAAAACCCTTAATTTCTTTGTATATTTCGTTTTTTACCCATGGTGCTAATTTAGTCTGTGAGGAATACTGAGGACTGTGGTCGGAATGTTGTCCTCCAACACCTGTTAAGTTGCTTTTTTCGGTGATCACTTACACCCTGGAGACTAACTAGGGTTTCTTAAATCTTAAGAAGATAGCCAAAAATGGGTTACTTTGCTTAGTAACACAATTAGGCTGTATTAACTGTCAAATTTTACATGCAATTTTATTCGGTGTAAACCATTCATGAAAAAACAACATACAGCAATCAGTGGTATACAAAGGAGAAAGTGTTACACATACCAGAGCCTGGAAATAAAGAATTAGGCAGTCAAACCGTCAACTCGAAATGGCTACAAACTTTGTACGATGGTGTTTATGAATACTTATTTAAGGGTAGAACAGCAACGCAAATTTGTTAAGGGAGAAAACGATTACTTAAGGAAGTCGACCTGGACTCAGCCGAATCCGAAACGGCAAAGAGAGCATCCATGGCGATTAGCCTTTGCACCACGTCGGCAGAGGTAGCTTATGCCAAAGATCCATTAACAAGCAGTTTGCAGGTTATGCACGAAATTCAGCCATTTGGCATGCTATGACAATTTGCATTCCATCTCTACCTTTGAGGTTGTCACGCCTGTTACCAGTAAAGATGGAGGATTGACTGATGCCGCATCAAGAATTCGCACTTAATGAACCATAAAGCTGAATTCCAAATAAAATAGGTACACAGATAAATCTACGATTTTATTGTTCGGTTTAAGTTTCAACGAAAAGATTAACTCGTATACACGAAAAACTGTGTCAACAGGTTCCAAACGTGCATCATTCTGAAAATTCGCTCAAAGCAGGAGATCAGGGAAGATGGGAAGAATAGATTTGAAATGTCGACGGTAGTGATGGATGTCAGACTTAAAAACTATGCCAAACCTAGGACCTGCTTGGCTTTTAGCTTAATGTAGCATAACCACAGCCACGTACCATGCCTTCGCATCTATAAGTATGGTATTTTTGACAGCTGATCAAATTTGGTAGGCGTGCATTTATTTGTTGTTCTCTGAAATCCTTTTTGAAGCATCAAACAAGGAATTAATGGTTGTTTTTAGGTAATCCAATAGATATTTACTAGCTTCGAGACCTCTCCTTTTATATTAATCACTTATGTGCCACGTCATGCTTTAAGGCAGTGCTTTTCAAAAGCGCCTCCTCTATTTAGGAAAACAATCAAAACAAGGTTTCATTTTCCAGTCAGTTATTCCCTTAC